GGACCACGGAAATCTTTTCAGGATTGGGAGTGAATAAAGACTGACTGACATATTATCCTCACAAATTCTATGGTCCAGGCTAGAATATTTTGCTACATGCATAATACTCAAAGGTTTTCTAATGGATCTGGGGCCTAGCCAAATGCATTGAGCTCATTGAAAATGAGCTTACCTGGAAATTAGCAACTGTACTGTTCTCACCAGGTTGATGGGCAGGGCTATAGTTTCATGAATATGTTGCACTGAAATTTGGAAGGTATCCTCTACCAACCAGGATGATAGAAAATGCAAGATAGACTCTGTCCTCATTTGGTTGAAAGGCAAGAATCTCCTTTTATAATTTGCACAATAGCTCTTAGAAATGTGTAATACTTTTAGGATACAAAGCTAAAAGAATTTATTTGAAATATTATAAGCTATTCTATATAAATAATATTAAATGCAAATAAAATTAATCAGAATATACATTGTTTGTGTTTCTATAGCATAGTGGTTCAAAGAAAAAAGTTTCCAATGGAAAAGACAGAGAGATGTGCTCATGTACATTTATGTATCAAATTGTGTTGTATTGATTGTTGTTTACATAATTAAAAATTATCAAAAAATGAAATTTTATAGATTTTAGCATACATATTGGGGAAATATTTCAATAGATATTCCATGTGTATATACCAACATAATTTTTCTAGCGAAGTAGATTATCATTTTGGAATCAAAGCACTAGTGAATAAGATTGAAGCCTTGAATAATTAAATATATTTTTCCAAAGTATAATTTCATTAACAATAATTTTGAAAATGCTTTCTAACTTGAATACAGAATTCATTTTTCCATAGTAATAATAGTATGTGTGCTAGCAACATATATAATGCAACCCACCCAGGAATATTTAACCTACAATAGAGCTAAGGCATATTAGTAATTTATCTACATAAAGTCATGTTCATAATGCTGCTATAGGGAATAGAAGGCAGAGTTTGTTTCTAATGGAAACATTACAAAACATGGTACTCAGGGGACTTGTGCCCATGTTCTCTTTGTTGTTAATTTTAGTGTAGATAAAACTGTATTAAAGAACTTGTGGTTCTATAGAATATGTTTTTCTATAAGCATCCAATGCTGGATCTGGTCATTCAAGACATTTCTGCCTGGTTCCTGAAGAAGATAAGGAGTAGCCTCGGCATCTGAAGAACTGAAATGTGTTTACAGCCCAGATTTCTTATGCTCAAGTCACTAAAATATTATTTGACCAGGTTTTCATTTTTAGGGAAATGTAATTACTAAAAATGGTTTCCATGTGTTTGTTAGTAAATGGAATAGAATCAATTAAGCATTATACAAGAGGAATGCAGCTTCATCTATTACATGATTATATTTGGGCTGAAGCATATTATAATAGGAACAGCAAATATATTCCTTACCTTACCTTTGCTATCCCTTTCTTTGGGTTTTATATAGGATTTTTTCAGTGTTTGTGTGTGTGTGTGTGTGTTTGTGTGTGTGTGTGTGTGTGTGTGTGTGTGTAGTGAGGGAACCTCTGAGTAAATGCATATATTGTTTGACATGGGCAAAGCCATGTTAAGGACCCAATTCCAGAGATGAACGTGGTGAATGGGCAAAGTTTCTTAAAGTTAAGATTCAGAAGATGGCAAATACTTTTTTCTGGTACAAGTGTATTTTTTAACACTGTGTACAAGTATGATAATTTAAGAAATCACTGACCAATATGTATAAAAACTAGCAGTTATACCTTGTTCTTTCAGAATAACTGCAAGCTGGGAGTACTCCCTTTATAATCCCATACCAAGACTATATAATCCTCTACTCTCTGTTGTGTATAATAAACAAGATAAGGTCCTTAGTAGTTGGTGCTTCTAGATTAGAACAATCACATTCCATTTGATACCAGCTTTTCTGAACTTGTCTGTGTATGTATAATTTGTTCATTCCTTTTCACCCCAAGTCAGCTAACTAGGAACAAGAAATGATACACAGAATGTGTATATACATTTGTAATGTTGAATTGCTTTCTTTATGAAAAGAGAACACAATGGGCAGAATATTTTATGGAAAATGCATATATACAGACAAGCCCTTGATCCAGTAAGATGATAGTACATTTTACCTCATGGATAGAATTGTATTAGTTGCCCATTAAAATAATGATAGTAGATCATTGCTCCAACAACCAGTCAACTAGTAGGACTCCTGTGGACATACTCCTTCACCCCTCACTGCCTTCTCCCTCAGCCATCCATTCCTATGTCAACCAACCTCCATAGCAAAACGGCCATGGAGGCACAGACTCCAAATGCATCCATTGAATAAAGAGGTCAGTAACTGGTGGACAGCCTGGAACTCTAGGCACTAGACCACAGAGAACATTCTGTGCCCTTCCCCTGCCCATCACAACCCAAGCATACAGTAATCTGGTAGTACTCATGCAGGCAGAGCTGCTACCAATTCCCCTGCCAACCTCCCCCATTGTATCAGAGGGCCCCTAGGTACAGGTTCTACCTGTACCATTTGGAAGAAGAGCCCCAGTACCTGGCCAGCAGTGATCCCATAGGCACAGACACAACCACTCACAATTTCATAAAGAGTCAACCATTGAACCTATAAATGGGTAGATGGCAGTATAAGAATATATTCAACAACATAAGGAGTAGTAGGGCACCACTGGAACCTAGTGGTTCAACAACAAGAAGACCTGAACAACCCAATCCAGATGAAGCAGGAGAAAAATCAACTATGTTCATATCAAGATCATTCATATTAACCAGAACCTGGAAACAACTCAGATGTCCCTCAACAAAATAATGAATAAAGAGAAGGTGGTAGGTTTACACTATGGAGTATTACTCAACTGCAAGAAACTGACAACATGAAAATGGCAGAAAAATGGATGGTACTGGAAACAATCATCCCAAGTGTTCTAACCCAGACCCAGAAAGTCAAACACGGCATGTACTCACTTATAAGCAGATATTAGATGTAAAGTAAGGATACCCAAACTCCAACACACAGACCCAAAAAGGGACTGCACAAATTTACTCAAAAAGGGGGAAATAGTTAACATATCCTGGGTAAATTGGGGGCAGGGGGAAAGAGGGGAGGGGAATGGAGATAAGAACATGAGGAAATGGGATGGTCCAGTTGGGAGAGGGATGAAGAGGGAGAGCAGTTAAAGAAGTATCTTGATGGAGGGACCAATTATAGAGTTAGGATGAAACCTGGGGCTAAGAAAACAAAAAGGAATCCTCAAGGATGACCTCAACTAAAACTCCTAACAATAGTGAATGGGATGCCTGAACTGGTCTTCTCCTGTAATCAGATTGATGACAAACTTAATTCTCATCGTAGAACCTTCATCTCATAACTGAAAGAAGCAGATGCAGATATCTACAGCAGAGCACTGGACTGAACTCCTAAAGTCCAGTCAAAGAGACAGCTGATCCCAACTAGTGGGATCTCGTGAACTCTGGACTGTCAGCTGGGTAACCTACATTGGACCAACTAGGCCCTCTGAATATAGGTAGCAGTTGTGTGGCTTAGTTTTTTTTTTGTGAAGCCACTGACAGTGGGACCAGGATTTATGCCTGGTGCCGGAGATAGCTTTTTGGAGTCCATTCACTATGGTGGGATACCAGGCTCAGTCTTGATACAGTGGGGAGAGGGATTTGGTCCTGTCCCAACTTGATACACCAGGCTTTGTTGACTCTCAGTGGGAGGCCTCACCTTTTCTGAGGATTGGATAGAAGATGGAGATAGAGGGGGAAGGGTGAGGAGTGAAGGGAGGGGAAACTGTGGTTTCAATGTAAAATGAGTAAAAAACAACAAAATAAAATGTAAAAACTGAATAATAATGGCTTAAATCAGATACTACACAATATAATATGTTGCTTAGGCAGTATTAAGTTAATAATTAGTTTAGGAAATTACAAAAATAAAGTTAAGTATAGGAAAATAAAAACTGATGGTGCCAGAACACAGAAAACAGGGTGATGTCTTTATGCAGATTTCTATACTAATTCTTTAACCAAAAAAACATTCACTTTCATGGACTAAGAGAAGACACAATGAACTTCCTGGGAGGGGGAACTATAAGAGATTTTAGGGGTGGTCTGGAGCTGGGTGTGGTGATAAAAACAGGAGAAGCACAGTAGGAAGGGGGAGGGGAAGTGGGATGGAGGGAAGCAACAAGGGAATAAATAGCTATAATTGAGCAGCATTTGAAGGGTGGTTTGGCAACTTAGTGAAGTGGAAACTTCTTATAATACATGAAGGTAAACCCAATGAAGTCTCAAAAAAATAAGGAAGACAGAATCCTTACTAGCCAACTTTTGTCACCAAATGAAGTTTCCAGTGCTTGGACTGGGTTTCATTCCATTGAGTTGTTGGCCTTAAGGGTCCTATGGGTATTCACAAGCAACCCAAGCTGTTGTCAGGACAATAGACTGCTCTGCCCAAACTTATAGCAAAGTCCATTGTTGACGATAATGCTCCCATAATTCATGATCAAACTGTTGTTTCCACCGAACCTTTACCCACATGTTCTAATGTCTATGACTTGGAAAGGTCTGCTGGCTAGTAAAAGAGAAAACTAAACACCAACCCAACTGCAAAACCTTTTTTTCTGCAATCTGTCCTGCATGGCAATTATGCTATAGATAACACAAAGATTGTGGAAGTAATCAAACAATGTCTTATTTGACTTATGTCCCATTCCATGAGATACAATCCATACTAGACACTGCTTGGTCTTAAAACAAACAATGATAACAATGAAATGACAACTAATGATAGTTTGCTATACTCATAGATTGGTGCCTTATTCAGTCATCAGAAAAACTTTCTCCTACAGCAGATGAGAACAAATACAGAGACCCTAACCAAGATATTATGCAGAGAGAGAAAGAGACAAAGACACAAAAAGAGAAAGAGAGACTTTGGATGATATAACTTTAAGTGAGATATCTCCATTGAATCCCTCCTCTCAGTACTCAGAGAACCCAGAAGAGGAGAAGTTAGGAAGAGGAAGGAAGATATAGTGGATGAAGGATACTAGAACAAAGCCCTCTATAAACAACGAAATGAGGCTCATTTGAACTCACAGAGACTGAAATAGCAACACAGGACCTACACACGTCTGCCTCAGGTCTATATAGTATAGCTTTTAGTTTATCTTATTATATTTTATTTTGGCCTTGTTTGGTTGTTATTTCCTGGAAACCTATTACTTTCTAATGAGAGGCAAAAAGGGATCAGATCCAGATAGAATAGGAGATAGGTTTACCAGGAGTAAAGGAAGAGGAAATTACACTCAGATTATATTGTATGAGAAAATAATCCATGAATAATAAAAGAGAAATAAAGAGAAATTTCACCTTCAAAAATACATCATTCATACTTTGGTTATAGTAGTCAAAGTATTCCTAGTATAGTAGTCCTTGTATTCATTTTTTCTAGTATTCAGCCTTCTTTATTCTTGGTATATTTTGATCAAGAGCTGGACTTACCTGAGGTATACGTTATTTCACTTTGGCATCCATACTGTACTTTCTTACACTGTGTTCTTTTTGTGGTTTCTATCTAGAATTGTGGTTTCCCTGTAGTTAAGAGTAAAACAAGTTATAAATAAGAACTTGACTCTAATGGGGAACTCTGGAGATTAAAGGACACTTCTATCATTCTCACTGGTTTGACTCCTACAGATGTCACTTGTACTGGAAGTTAAATAGTTCTGATGAAGACTGAATGACTTCATTTGTTTTGTCTTGGCCTGGTGATTTCCTAATCATCAAAGAGGTATATCAATTAATAATATTTCTGTTATTTTCTAAATTTTTTTTTCAAAATAATGGTCATAGCTTCTGTCTCCTTACACTTTGGGCTACTGCAATACAAATAATAATAAAATAATAAAAATAATGCTTAGTTGACATTGTCTATGAATTAAGTACTGTGCTAGGCAAATTAAAGAGCATCCCCTGGTCCTCAGAAAACAATTTATAAAACTTGACTACTGCTTAAGTCATCTCAGAGAACAACACAATATTGCTAATGATTAGATCTATTCATAAGTTTTAATCTAGACAATATCTAAATCATACTGCTTGTGTGTCCATTCTCATAAACACTTCAGTGCAAATAAGCCTGTCCACACAGTCTGTAAAATCTATTGGTCTCTCTTGTGTAAAGCACACTGAAGTATCAGAATTTATTATCTAGCTTATCCTTCTATAACTAATATCTAGGATGCAAGCAACTCACTTGGCTACTTACAGCTCTGAACTCTTTTCAACTACATAAACATACCTAATATTTTCTGAGAAATAAAAGTAACATTTTACCCAAAAAATTCAAGGCTACCAATAAGCACACACTAAAAATGTCTGGATCAAATTAGATTCTGTTATTTCTTTCTATATTTTCTATTAATTTCTGAGAATTTAATACAATGTATTTTGATCATTTTTATCCCTCTGTCTTCAGCTCCTAACAAACCCACCCAACCTCCCTACCCAATGAGAATGATGATATCTTTTTTTATTATTTTTTAAAGATTTATTTATCATTTTTTATTCAGTGTCTTACCTGCTTGTATGCTTGCAGACCAGAAGATTTCATTGCAGATGATTTTGGGTCACCATATAGTCGCTGGGAACTAAATACAGGACCACTGAAAGAGCAGCCAGTTCTCATAGCTGCTGAGTCATCTCTCCAGTCCCAAGCATCTTTCTGTGAACTTATTATAAGGATGTGATCCTGATATATTGGCGATACTCCAGGTGATGGCCCTTCATACATGTTTTGGCATCAGAAATAGGATTCAATAGGCTTTAAGCTAGTATTCTTAAGTGTTAGTTATGTAACTCAAAAATAAGAAATAATGAACATTGAGAAGATGGTTTTTATGTTCACTCAGATTGATATCTACAAAAGTTTGTGATGAAAAACAAAGCCAGGATAATGTATAAGACAGCTTAACAAAGAAAAAACAGTATCTAACAGGAGACAGTGCTTTATTAAAGATTGAAGCACAAAAGATGAACCTTCTATTTTCCAAAAAGTGTTGCAAATGGTTAATGCATGCTTGACAATTTAAGGAACAATTAGCATGACAATTCTGTGGTTATAGGAGTTACTGTTTATACAGAATGTAGGATGAAGTTTACTATTAAAAACTTGACTTAAAAGAAGAGGTGATAAAGCAAGGATGTCACTAGTTGCTGACACATGAACTTCACATATTAATGAAGTGAAGTCTCATAACTTTTTTTTACTGGAACACTATTAATTGATATTAAATTTTATTCATGCAACAGTGACAAAGACACTTATGTCAAATAAGATTGTTATTAAATTATAATGCAATTTTATTTTCAAGAAGAATTGGAGCAGTCACTGAGAAACAGATATAAAACGAGCAAGACCTATTTTACTTTGTTAATTCACTGTCCCTTCAACAATGGGCAGATAAAATCTTGAACACTGTCCAGACTTTGCAAAAAGTTAGAATACAAAGAAAAAGGTGCCTTTTTTTGGTAGATGTCTCACTTAATAACTCTCCCATTTAACGAAAGTTTTCATTAAAGCTAACCTAATTTTACTAATCTACAGAGAGCTTTCATTGACTCTCTTCTTAATCCCTCTGGAAAAACTAGCAGCAGGCTCCTCTCTTTTAAAATAGAACCATTTTTATGTTTGGCAACTGTTATGCAATGTCCTCTCAAGTACCTTTGAGTCAATCTCAATAATCCAAGTTACTCTAACCTATCCTCAGAGGTCAAATTTCCCTGCACTTTAATTATCTCTATGGCTCTCAATTGTGCACACTCCAATATGACCACTTTCCTGTTTTTCTCCTGAGTTCAGATTTGAAGATATTATTCTAATGAAGGTCTATCCAGCATTGAGAATAATGAGAAAAGTGCTTTTCAAAAACAGTGCTCCACTGTATAAGACCAGTTTTTCCTGTGTGTTTCCTCATCCAGAATGTAGTATTTTTAATTCTAACTCATAATTGCCTTGTGGGACCATATGACATCCCTCTTTTTATCTTGATTATATTTAATTATATATTATTTTCTGCACTAATAATAGGTTTCACAATTTCTTAGAAGAAATACCTATCTGCTTTTTTCTGAGATTTATTTTTGAGCTTTAAAATTTCTAATGTGCATATTGATATTGGTGTTATGCAAAAATTCATCCTAATAATAAAAATATTTCTGTGCAAGTTTTGCCTTCAGTCCCTTGACTTTGGAAAAGGCATTTATTTTATTCTTTATATTCTATCTACATAAAAGGGAAAGATGATAGATCTAAGATCTCAATTGCTTTGAATTCTTGTGATTTTCAGAAAAGTAATTTCCACTGTTGGAATGAACATAAAACAAAATGTGGATATAATGCCCATAACTGTAGCTCTAGCACCAGAGAGACTGTGTGTGCATAAGAAAATCAAATTAATGGAAAAGTTTTTTAAAAATTTACTACAATTTATATGGTGGCCCATATCTCTAAACCCAGGACTGAAGAGGCTATGTCTGAAAGGGTTTTGTCATTATTGTTTATTTTTGAGTTTATAATTTAGCTATATTTATCCATTCCCCTACCTCCCTGCAAGCACTACATTATACTCATCCAGTATACTCTCCTTCAAATTCATGATCTCTTTATTCATTATGTTATCACATATAATCATACTATACATGTATATTCCTTAAGATAATCTACTGAGTACATATAATGCTACATATATATGTACACACACACACACACACACACACACACACACATATATATATATATATATATATATATATATAATTAGAATTTAGTTTTGGTATCAAACAGTTGATTGGTTTATTTTACCTGAGGAGGAACAGCATACGCATGACCAGTTTTACTTAGTTGTCTGGACTTCTTTATGTAGGGTTGAGCCTCATGTACTTTTTGCCAACAGTTTTGATTGTTCATTGGCTTCCTCCTTGTTTAACTTTTGTACTGTCATGTTGGTAAGACTTTACATGTATAGATTCTGATGTTAGTAGAAGACACAGTCTCACAGGAGATTTCTTGATCTTCTGGCTTTTACAGTTCCACCCACTCTTCCACAATATTTCCTGAGCATTTTGTGCAGGAGAGTTTTGTAGATATATGGTACTCCACAGCTATGAAGATGGATTGGTTGTAGTTTTCTGTAGAAGGTCTCAAGTTTTAAAAAATCCTAAATTAAGGAATGGCATTAGACAAGATCAACGTGCTAAGACCTAGTCCCACTTTATAGATCATTATAAAGGCAACCTTAATCACAAGTCAAATAAAGGTTATGAGAACTACTTGAAGACAGAATTGGAATTATCGCACTCATTACTACAGATGTTCTGCAGAGAATAAGTATTGCCATACACATATAAGTTTGAGTTCAGAACAGGAATCTAAGGAAACAATGTAGAAATTCATTGATACTGATAGCTTGGACTAAAACAACTGTAATAAAAGGGCAAAGCATAGTATAGTACTGAATAGAGTGTAAAGTTATAGCAGAAATTGCCGTCTGGACAATATGTACTCTGTAAGGAGGAACTGTGTGGGTTTCAATATGGAACTTTACATGTGAACAACATTGTGTAAAATACTCCGGTACTTAAAAAGATTTCCATCTCTGTCAAGTTCAAGAAATTCTATTACTTACTGGATATTCAAAGAGGTACAAGTTCACAGTCATATGTGAAAACAATTTTAATTGAAATTGGATATATTATCATGGAATGATTTGATATTTGGTTTATATTATTTTCATACTTGTTCTGTGTTTATAAGTGATATTTCTATACTCCATTCGAATATCTAAACACATACTTGTGTTGTATGTTTTCTATTGTTTGTTGAGGTTTGATTTTATTTCCCATAATTTTCTTATTGAATCATCAAAGAAGGTTTTTTGTGATCCCAGTGTTCATGTATCTGACATACACTCTTGTCTTACTTTGACTGTATAATGATAAACACAACTGATCATCAGATACCTACTCTGTAGAGTTGACATTAAGAATGCTGACTGCATTCAAATTTATGAATAGGTTCAATATTATTGGATGCCATTTTCTCAGAAACTTTACAAAATTGCATCTTCACATTCTGTTCTTTAAAATATAGATGACATATAGTTAGCTCCTACTAGGGAAAACAACAGCAACATTGTTAACAGTTCTTTAGACATAGGAAGCAGACTTTTAAGATAGGTGATAAAAAACTGGCCTACAGTAATAATCATAGTACTTAAGGTCTGCTCAATATTTTATGATTGCTTTTCACTTAACACCCATTGTGTTCATAGTGTGCAGCTTTGAGAGTGCTTTAGCTTCAAACACTGGTACTTGCTTCACTTCAGTTAACAATGCACTACAGTTACTGAGGCTCATCAGGCTGAGCAGACGGTGTTAACAAAACAGCTATTTGTCAAGGCCAGAGCTACAAAGATAATCTCAAGTAACTCACACTGAGAGTCCGCAGATCTTATTCCTATTTTTCGTTGGAACAATTTCAGTCAGAAAGCAAAGTGTTTATTTTTTTTTCTTTTTTTCCTATCAGTTACTGCTTTACAAGTTGATAACATTAAATACAATGTTCTGTGTTTTGGTTAGGAAAACAGGCACCATCCACTTATCACTGTCAAACTATTAGGAACAATCCCCATGATCTTTAACATTTCTTTTTGTCAGCAGACATACAAGTAGAAGTCAGCAAATCAATATAAGTTTTTATTTTTGAATTATTTGTAAACTTAGTCCTCTTTTAAGTCAATGCAGAAGTCATTCTCAGGATTTAATAAAATTGAAATGTGTCCTACCTAAATATGTCAGACTAACTTACTTCCACCTTATTGTTTACTATAATAAAATGGACACTTTAGATAAATCAATGAGAGTGCTAGACAACTTGATAATCTATTAGGCAGCATCAATTTACCTGAACATATTTTAATCAAATCATTTACCAGTTTCCCGCAATGAAATATAAGATATGAGCAGTTGTCTTAATTATTCCATCACTTGTTCATCTTTTTCTTTTTTTTCCCCACTGAATACTGCTTCGGTTTTCCTAGACATTTTTTTTTTCAGTTTTAATATACCAGTCCATTTAGGCAAGGTCTCTTATACTATAAATACTGCCATAAAGCTTGCACACTCTCTCTGTGATGCTGGATTTGGTTCCTGTTCCCCATTCATGTAGAGAACTGTGATCTTTCAGTCTACCCTTGAATAAATCACCCTTTATTATACTCAATTCTGAGTAAGTGTACGATTACTTTATAGTGTTCATCTTCATCTGGCACCCAAGTGAATCCCAACTCCACATCTACTGGGATAGGCAAAAAGGCCCCAAAGGTCTGTGGCTCAGAAGGTCCTTGATTGTCTGTCTTATTTTCACCTACCATTTTTTTTTTTGCCTAAACCCTGCCACAGTGGAGCTGACGTGTAGGGACTTGACAATTTCCCAGGAATACTTCTACCTTTTGCAGCTTTCCCTAACATGCAGCAAATTACACAGCCTCTGGTTTGTGTTCCCTGCTCGTGAACTCCAGGTTTCTTGATATTCTGGCCACCGAAAAACTCTTTCAATGTATGGAATTGATTTTAATTTTCAAACAAAGCACATTTGTCAGTATTAAAGCAGGTGACAAAGTGCAACCTAGCTGAAGTAGTCATACTACCGCTGATGGCTACTTTCCAGCACAGTGCTGTAACCGTGGCATTAGCTGGCCAGTAAAGATTATTATACCTACAACAATTTATTAAAAATATGTAACAGAACTAACTTTATTTGATTAATAAATAAATTAAAATTTTTAAAGTTATATAATTGAGAGAATATTTTGCTTATACTATGGATATTATTCTGCAAGGCTTTTATACTTTGTCTGATATATCCATTTATTGGATATTGGGACCTAGCTTTGTTTTTCATGTTATATCCTTAAGAAAATGGCTTGATAACAGAGCCAAGAATCAGGCACTTTTAGAAATGATACAGTCTTTACAGACTAATAATAAACAGCTAGCTGACAGGCCTAATACCATCGAAAATCAAGTTACCTGAAAAAAATTAATACTATTGAAAAGGATGGGATTAATTTTACAGACAAAATTCAATCCATGTCAAGGAGTACTGAGAAATTATCTTAAAAGAATTATACTATTGGTTTTAATAATTAAAATCTGCTAAAAACATTATGATAAGTTAGCAGATAGAGTATATCTCCAGAAAGGCAATCTACACACCATCCAAATGATATCAAAGAATGAATGAGTTGTCCTTAATGGATCAATTCCATATTTTGAAATTGTATTTGCAGAATGAGAACCAGAGGTTGTATTAATCAATGGGGCCACTAGAATTATACACAGGTCAAGGGATTCAGGCTTTACAAAAACCTGTGCTAAAAAGATATAAAATGATTGAGGAATTTATTAGAAGAGATGAGCCAGGAGAGAAGTTACATGAACAGTACTCATCAATATGTGTCAGAGTCAGAGATGACTTAAGGAGAATTCTAGCTACTTACTATATCATCTCCTCTGACAACCATCCCAGTACTAAATACACAAAAGGATTAAAAAAACCATAAATGACAGCCTACATGTATAAATGATCAAAAGTAAATTAAACACCATATCTTTTGGTGTGCTTTCATCATTTGTTAGGGAAATGGTGAAAATGTTGACTTCAAGCAATTAGGCTAGCCCACAGGATTGACTTAAATTTATCACAGCAGTCCTTGAAGAAGGACTTCAACTGCTATGAAAATGCTACTAGCAAGAAGAGTTAAAACTTTTAGATCAACAGGGAAAAGCAAAAGTATTTGAGGTTTCCCAAGATCAAATTCTTAGCGAGAGCACTTACGCTGACTATGCTCTTTACAATGAACACATCATGTCACAATGGCACACAGCAGCCTTAGGTTTGGGACAGGATTCAAGAACTAGGAAAAAGATTTGAATCATTTATGAGGGTTAAACAGTGTGAAAGAGAACACTTTAGTGACTTTTCAAGATTAACTATGGCTGTACAAAGAAGAGTAACCAGATGCTAGATGAGTATTTACTGAATCTCTGCCTAATAAAAATGCCAACTTAGAATTCAAATAAAGATACTTTGACCTTTAATATGTAGATTGGCACCAATAAATGAATGAATCTCGCATGCAATGAACATTTGATTATAATACTTGAGTAAGAGAAACAATTTCCAAAGTTACAAGGAAACATCAAAATGCCAAATGTTTAATTTGTGATACAATAGGACTCCTGAGACAGAATTGTTGATGATGAATTTCTATAAATAATGTCTCCAGTGGGAATGACAAAAATGGGAGGTCCCAACATTCTGGATTATGTAGACAGTGTGGTATAGGCCAACATTGAAACAATTAATATAGAACAACAAAAGACAGACAAGACATCAAGAAATTTCTGTGGGGGGGCTCTCCAAGGTCCCCAAGTCATACATGGTACAGTCATTCCCAGTCACTGTGGAAGACATGTCTAAGAACGAGAATTTAAAAAATCCATTGCCTACTGTAAAAAACCATACTGTTCTGGATGATGGAATAAACTTGAAGGATGAATCAAAAATTCTAATAGGAAATAGAAAGTATATATTTTGGCAGACTTTTAAAAATGATCAAAGACCAAAGCTAAGATTGTCCATAAATAACATTGTAATTGAGGGATTACTAGACATCAGTGTGGTTGGGGCTTTCATTATTCCACAATCTTGACATCAGAACTTTCCATTTCAAGAGGCAGATGTTCAATTCCCAGGAATTGGAACCATATCTCAAGTGAATGAAAGCACAAGATAGATTGAATGCCTGGGGACAGAAGAATAGAGAGAAAGGCTGAGGCAATATGTGGCAAATATTGAAGTGAATTTATGGGGTTGTGACCTGCTGCAGCAGTAAAATATCCAGATAAACATTCTTTCAGTCTCAGAAACTTATGTTTCTGGGAAGGATATTATAAGCTACTATAAACAAAGGTAATCAGTCATTCAGGCTGTACGAGAACACAAATCAACTAGAAGGCTCTGAGGTGATAATTGCTCTAATTTTTAAATGCTTAACTGAGACACCAATATTAGTTTATAAATGGCCTTTAACAGAAGATAAACTGTAGGCTTCAGAACAGTGGTACAGGAGTAAGTAGATGCTCACCATATTAAAGACTCAAGGAGCTCTCCCAATTCTCCTGTATTTGTTCATAAAAAGAAATCTGGTAAATGGAGGATGGTGACAGATCTAAGAATTGCCAACAAGGTAATTCAACCTATGGGCCACGTACAATCTGAAATTCCTTTGCCTTCCCTATTGCGTAAATCATGGCCTTTTTTAGTTATTGATTTAAAAGATTGTAACAAGAAAGAGAAAAAGAACCAAATCGCCTAGAATCATTGAAGAAACTGAAAACTTCCTTACAAGAAGATGTTCAAAAGTATAAAGCATACATGAAGAGTTTGGAATCACATTCGTCTGTCCTAGACCAGCAACTGAGTGGTCTTGATGAAAAAATTGGGAGACTACAATTAGAATGTGAAGCAATGAGACAGGAGAATGCTCAGCTACAGAATATAGTTGATAACCAAAAGTACTCAGTTGCAGACATCGAGAGAATCAATCATGAAAAAAATGGGTTACAACAGACCATTAATAAATTAGCCAAAGTCCTAGAGATTGAACAGAAACAAATGTGGAATGAGGAATTAAAATATGCCAGAGGTAAAGAGGCAATTGAAACACAATTAGCAGACTACCACAGATTGACTAGAAAATTAAAACTTATTCCTAAAGGTGCTGAGAACTCCAAAGGTTATAACTTTGAAATCAAACTTAATCCTGAAGCTGCTGCCAAAAGCCTTGTCCAATACAGGACTCAAGTATATAGTCTGAAAAGACGTGTGGGAGAGTGCATTCCGTGACACACATGTCGAGGTACCTCTCAAAGAGTTCTTGGTTGAAAGTGAGGAAGAAATTATCAAAGTTTTAGATAAAAAGATTGCTCTGGAGGTCACTTTAGAGCAACTGAATACCATGAAGACAGAGAGCAGGAGAAATGTGAGGATGCTAAAGGAAGAGGTGCAAAAGCTGGATGATCTTTACCAGCAAAGTGTTAAGGAGGCTGAGGAACAAGATGAGAAGTGTGCCAGGGAGCTTGAATCCCTGAAGAAACACAGGCACCTATTGGAGAGTGCTGTGAGCGAGGGCCTCAGCGAAGCCATGGATGAGCTAGAGGCTATCCAGTGGGAATACCATCTGGTTCTACTAAGCACAGCTGAAGAAAGGAGAAAAGTGAGATGTAACTTACAGCATCTTTTAGAGATGGTTGCTACACATGTAGCGTCTTTGGAAAATCACCTTGAAGAACGGATTGTAAAAGCAGATGGAGACTATGAAGGATGCATGTCTGAAGACCTCTTGGAAAATATCAAAGAGATTGCCGAGAAGTACAAGAGTAGTGCTGTTCTATTTAAGACTCTAAGTGAATGATTGACGGCGGCTCTCTTGTATCTGGCATATATTTACTAAAAATATTTATATCTTAAAATTGTGATAACTTAGTAGATTAGATTTTTAACTGTAACAGACAGTTAATAAAGTACATTAATAAAGTATGGGTTTTCCCTCAAAAAAAAAAAAGATTGTCTATCCACTATATCATTAGACAAAAAAGGACAGAGAAAAATTTTCTTTCACACTGCTAGCTAATAATAAGCCTCAGTGTGATATGGGATATCTGTGGACTATCCTCCCACAGGGAATGCTCAATAACACACAGTGTGTCAATACTTTGTAAGTCAGCCATTGAAAATAATATATAAACAATTTTTAAATCTATAATTTACCATTACATGGATGATATTTTGCTATCTGATTCAAAAAAGATAGCTTAGAAAGATGTTTGAAGAAGTAAAGAATGGTCAGAGAGGTCCTTCGAGCTCAGCAAGAGGCCCTGTTTCCATGCAGAGTGTATCCAGACAGGTAAGTGAATGGTCACCTGGCCTGATGGTCCAAGAAAACAGAGTTCAGGTCCTCTCCAATTCTCTAAGATATTCTGGCCATCCAGAGGGTGTCTTATTGGCTGCCGGTTTTCTTTACTACGTTCCAATCAGCCCCTAAGCACTCCTTTTCATCTGTGAGGTCCTTCAATTCCCCAGCACAATCTGCTTCAGGGAGGAGGGATCTGAGAGCCTGCTCCAGTGCTGAGGGGACCTAAGACAGGGCAGACCAAGTAAAACTCCCAAGTACAGAATCAGCAGTGATTGGACCAAGACACCAAGACTCTGATGGCCTCATATGAAGGAAGAGATTGAAAGCAGGCAATACATGAATTCCTCTAACATGCTGAAAAGCAACATGATCACAAAAGAATCTAGTGAACACACAACAAGAAGACTTGAAAACCTAACCCAGAGGAAGTAGAAGAATTTGACTTTAAACATAACCTTATAAAAATGTTGGAGACCTTTAAATAGGAAGTGAAAAACTCCCTTAGAGAATGGAAGAGAAGACAAACAAAAAGTTTGAAGAAATTACTAAATTCCTCAAAGATACCCAAGAAAACCAAAAAAAAGCAATGAAACAGGCAAAAAAAAGTTCAATACTTGAAAACCAAAATGGAGGTAATAAAAAAAAAAACACAAACTGAAGGAAGGCTCAATATTGAAAATCTGAATAAATAAACAGGAATTACACAGACAAGTATAACCAACAGGATACAAGACATAGAAGAAAGAATCTCAGGCACTGCCTATACTATAGAAGAAGTACACTCATTGATCAAAGAAAACAACAAATCCAACAAATTCTTAACACAAAACATCCAGGAAAACTGGGACACCATGAAAAGACCAAACCTAAGAATAATAGGGCTAGAAGAAGGAGAAGAATTATAACTCAAAGGCCCAGTAAATATATTCAACAAGATTATAACAGAAAACATTCTCACCTAAAGAAGGATATTCTTATGAAGGTATAAGAAGCTTATAGAACACTCAAATACACTGGATCAAAAAAAAAATCCCCTCACCATATAATAATCAAAACAAAAAAAACATACAGAATAAAGAAAGAATATTAAGAGCTGCAAAGGAGAAAAGTCAAATAACATATAAAGGTAAACCTATCAGAATTACACCTGACTTCTCAATGGAAAACATGAAAGCCAGAAGTTCTTGGATGGATAGATGTACTGCAGACACTAAGACACCATGGATGTAAGTCAGACAAGCCAGCAAAACTTTCTTTCACCATAGATGGATAAAACAAGATATTCCAGGACAAAAACAGATTTAAACAATACGTAACCACAAACCCAGCCTTACAGAAAATGCGAGAAGGAAAGCCACAAACCAAAAAAGCCAACACACCCATAATAACACAAGCATCTGACAACCCTCTACCAGCACAACTCAAAGAAGGGAAACACACAAACACTACCATAAGGAAAAATAACCGGAGTTAACAACCACTGGTCATTAATATTGCTTAATATCAATGGACTCAATTCATCTATAAAAAGGCACAGGTTAAGAGAATGGATATGAAATCAGGATCCAACATTCTGCTGCCTACAAGAAACACACCTCAAATACAAAGACAGACACTACCTCAGAGTAAAGGGTTGGGAAAAGGTTTTCCAATAAAATGGACCGAAGATACAAGCAGGTGTGGCTATACCAATATCTAACAAAATTGATTTCAAACTAAAATCAAACAAAAAAGATGGAGAAGAACACTTTATACTCATAACAGGAACAATTTATCCAGATGAAATCTCAGTACTGAATTTCTATGCCCCTAATATAAAAGCACCCACATATGTAAAAGAAACATTACTACAACACAAAGCAATCATCAAGCCACACACAATAATAGTAGGAGATTTCAACAGTCCTCTCTCACCAATGGACAGGTCAACCAGGCAGAAACTTAACAGAGAAAGAAGAGAACTAACAGATGTAATGAATCAAATGGACTTAACAGACAACTATCTAACATTCCACCAAAACAGAAAAGAATTTATCTTCTTCTCAGCATCTCGTGAAACCTTCTCAAAAATTAATCGCATACTTAGTAACAAAGCAAACATCCACAGTTACAAAAAAATTGGAGCAATCACATGTGTCTTATTGGATCACCTTGGAGTAAAGTTAGAAATGAACAGCAACTCAACCACAAGAAAGCCTATAAACTCATGGAAACTGAACAGTCACCTACTGAACCATCCCTGGGTCAAGGAAGAAATAAAGAAAGAAATTATAGTCTTTCTTGAATTCAACAAAAATGAAGACACAACATACCCAAACCTGTGGGACACTATGAAGCAGTGCTAAGAGGAGAGTTCTTAGCAGTAAGTGTCCATATAATGAAAGCAGAGAAATCTCACATTAGAGAATTAACAGCACATCTGAAAGCTCTAAAAAAAACAAGAGAGAAGCAGACTCACCCAGGAGGAGTAGAAGACTGGAAATGATCAAACTGAGGACTGAAATCAATAATATAGAAACACAGAAAACAATCCAAAGAATCAATAAAACAAAGAGCTGGTTCTTTGAGAAAATCAAAAAGATTGACAAACTCCTATCCAAACTATTCAAAAGGCAGAGAGAGAACACTCAAATTAATAAAATCAGAAATGAAAAGGGGGACATAAAAACAGACACTGAGGAAATTGAGAGAATCATTAGATCTTACTACAAAAGCCTGTATGCCACAAAATTGGAAAATGTAAAAGAAATGGACATTTTTTTAGATAAATACCATATACCAAAATTAAATCAAGACCAGGTGAACAATTTAAATAGACCTATAAATCACGAGGAAATAGAAGTTGTCATAAAAAAACTCCCAACCAAAAAAGCCCAAGACTAGATGGTTTTAATGTAGAATTCTACCAGAACTCCCAAGAAGAGCTAATATCTTTACACTTTATGTGTTCCAACCATTAGTAACAGAAGACTCATTGCTAAACTCTTTTTATGAAGCCACAGTTACCCTGATACCAAAACCACACAAAGACTCAACCAAGATAGAGAATTTCAGACCATTCTCTCTCAGGAACACCCATGCAAAAATTCTCAATAAAGTACTGACAAACTGACTCCAAGAACACATCAAAAACTCATCCATTATGATCAAGTAGGCTTTATCCCAGAGATGCAGGGCTGGTTCAACATATGAATATCAATCAATGCAATCAGCCATATAAAGAAAATGAAAGAAAAAAACAAAAGATACTTTTATTGGATGCAGAAAAAGCATTTGAAAAAAATTCAACATCCATTCATAATAAAGTTCTTGGAGAAATTAGTAATACAAGGATCATATATAATATAAGAAAATCAATATATAGTCAGCTGACAGGTAACATCAAATTAAACTGTAAGAAACTCAAAGCGATTTCACTAAAATCAGGAACAAGACAAGGCTGTCCACTCTAACTAGATCTCTTCAATATAGCACTTGAAGTTCTAGCAATAGCAATAAGACAACATAGGAGATCATGGGGATTCCAATTGTAAAGGATGAAGTCAAACTTTCATTATTTGCCAGATGATATGATAGTGTACAAAAGTGACCCCGAATCTCTACCATAGAACTCTTACAGCTGATAAATATCTTTAGTGTTGTGGCAGGTTACAAGATGAACTCAAAAAATCAGTAGCCCTTCTATACACAAAGAATAAAGAAGCGGAGAGGGAAATCAGAGAAACATCACCCTTCATGATAGCCACAAATAGAATAAAGTATTTTTGGGAAACACTACCAAGGAAGTGAAAGATCCTTTGACAAGAACCTTAAGTCTTTGAAGAACAAAATAGAAGATGATACCAGAAAATGGAAAGATCTCCCATGCTCTTGGATTGAGAGGATCAACATAGTAAAAATGGCAATTCTATAAAGGCAATCTATAGATTCAATGCAATCCCCATCAAAATCCCAGCGAAATTCTTCACAGACCTTGATGAATCAACTTCATATGGGAAAAAAAACCAGGATAGCCAAAACAATCCTATAAAATAAAGGAACTTCCAGAGGCATTACCATCCGTGACATCAAACTTTATTACAGAGCAACAGTAATGAAAACTGCTTGGTATTGGCATAAAAACAGAGACATTGACTAATGGAATCAAATTGAAGACCTGGATATTAATTCAGAAACCTATGACACCTGATTTTTGACAAAGAAGCTAAAATTATATAATGGAAGAAAGAAAGCATCTTTAACAAATGGTGCTGGTGTAATTGGATGTCAACCAGTAGAAGAATGAAAATAGATCCATATCTATCACCAGGCATAAAACTCAAGTCCAAACATAAATCCTACCACACTGAACCTGATAGAAGAGAAAGTGGGAAGTAGCCTTCAATACATGGGCACAGGAGACCACTTCCTAGGTAGAGCCCCAGTAATACAAACAATAAGAGCAATAATGAACAAATGGGACCTCCTGAAACTGAGAAGCTTCTGTAAAGCAAAGAACA